ATGTGAGATCAATATCTCACAATTACATTTCTGTACAACATCAGGGAATAGTTTTAAAAACCCAGCATCACTGTATAATAAATATTCAGAAAAGTATTATTATTTGAAGAGAGATAGGCATGAACTCTCTATAACACAACATAAGAGGTAGATTCTAGATAAAGACCCAAATGAGAAAGGTAAAACTATACAGTTAATATAAAAAAAAATCTAAGAGGAAATTCTTGCAACCTGGGAATGGGAAAGAACTTATTAAACAAAACTTCAAAGCACAATGATAAGGCAAAAATAAGGTGTGTTTAATTACATCAAAGTTAAAAATTTCTTTCAATGAAGGATACCATGGGCAAACAACATATAGATGATAAAATGGTATAAGAAATTCATAATGTCTAAAGCTGACAGGGGATATCTAGAATATACAAAAAATTCTGGGAAATGAATAAGGGCAGAAAGCCCCTTAGAAAAATGAGGAAAGCTGTTACAAAAGAGGCTCCAAAAGACTAACAAGCATTTGAAGGGATCACAAACTATTAGAGATCAGATATGAAAATTAAAACAATAACAAGGATTCCTAATTCCCATTTTCTGCCAATACTTGTCATTTTTCATACTTATAAGTTTTCCCAACCCTCATTCACTGTTAATAGGTATCTGTCCTGGTTATTTGGGAGAACTGTTGGCACTGTTCAGTCAAGTTAAGTATACTCATATTCTGTGACCCAGATATTCTGCTCCTGAGTTTATACGTCAAATAAATATTCACATGGTCCATACTAGGATATTCATTAGTGTTACCTGTAGTGGCAGGGAGCTGGAGGTATTCTGGATTCCAGTCAATGAATAGATAGATAAATGTAGTAGATGCACACCTTAGTAGGGCATTAACTAGAACTCACAGAATAGAGGTACACATAGCCACCTGAATGGATCTAAAAGCCTAGTGCTAGGTGAAAAAGATAAGAAAGAGTGTAATGTATAACAAGACCATTTCCATAAATTAAAAATATATGCACAGAAAACAACAATACCCTTTATATAAGAATACAAACAAAAAGATACATATTAAATAAACCCACCATAATGGAAAGTAGAATATGGGGATAAAAGGAAATGAATGTGCTGACTAGTGATGATGATATGCCATAAATTAAGAAGTAGAACTGGCACAATTCTCTGCACTTAAGGTTCAGAAAACAAGAAAAGAGGACAACAACATAGCAAGTACATAGTAATAAATCTAACCAAAAGATGTATAAGACATTTGTAAAGAAAATGATAAAATTTCATTATAAGACAATAAAGATTTAGAAGATCTACATAAAAAAAGAGATTAACCAGTTAGTGGATAGGGAAAGTTATTACTATAAAATGTCGATTCTCCCCAAACTGACTCATACATTGAATAGGACGTCCCTTCTTCAGTCCAATGTAGCTTTTCATGGAACTTGACAAGATGATTCTAAAATTCAAAGAGTACCAAAAAAAACAAAAAAACAACCCAACAGCCAAGACACTCTTGCAGTAAAACAAGTTTGAAGGGGGAGAACAAGACTTATTATAAACCTTGAGTAATTAAGACAGTATGGTATTGGCACAGAATTAGACAAAGAGACCAATGGAACAAAATAAAGACCTCAGAAATAGATCAACACTCATGGAAATTTAAAAGATGACAGATTAGCACTGTGGATCAGTGGGGAAATGATGAATTATTTTCAATAAATGGTAGTTGGAAAAAATTAAATAGGAAAAAAGCCAAAAAGTAATTGGATCCCTACCTACAACACAGCAAAAAAACCCAAAAAACAAAAAACCCCACAAACCCAGAAAACAACAACAACACAAATCAGTTCCATAGATCTTTAAACTACTTGAAAAATACAGAGAAAAACATCTTTATGCTCCTGAGGATAGAGAAGAATTTGTTAAGGCAAATAATACACACTGGAAAGATAATGGAGAAAACAAAGAACTACAGTTCATTAACAGACATCATACAGTAAAAAGACAAACCACAACTGGGAGAAGATAGCTGCCATTCATATAATTAGAAGAAAAAGAAGCCACCAGAACGTATTTTAAAACTCTCAAAAAATCAAGAAGAAAAATACAATCAATAGGAAAATGGACAAAATTCACAAAGGAATTTCAAGGATAAAGAAACTCAATGGCCAACACACATATAAAGCTATGTTCAATCCCCACTAGTAATCAGAGAAATTGAAATTAAAACCCCAATGAGATACCATTTTATACCTATCAGGCTGGCGAAATATAAAGGGCTGAAAATACCAAATGTGGTAGACAAAGCTGGTGATAAATCAGTCCAGTCATTTAGGAAAACGATTTGGTTTAGGTAATCAAGTTAAAGATGTTCTTTTGTTATGAACCTACCTGTTTTCTACTGACATTTATTCTAGAGGAACTCTTATGTTCCAGGAGATATGAAAAAAATGTTTATAGCAGCACTACTTATAATAACAAAAAACTGGATAACTCAATTGTTCATCAACAGGAAAACAAAGAAATCATGCCTTATTTACATAATGGGCTATAGTATAGCAGGAAAAATAAATGAATGTGGCTACACTTACTGAAATGGATGAATCCAAGAAACATAATGCTGAGTGACAAAGCAATTGCACAAGAATGCATACATTGTTACCATGTAAAAGTTCAAAATCAAGCAAAATTAACATATGTATACTCTTACAAAGAAATGAGAAATACAAAATTCAGAGGAAGCAGGAAGCAAAGGGGACATACAGAATGTGCTTCAGTAATACTGGTAACTGAGACATCCGGTTAGTGATTAAAATCCTATGTGCGGTTTTTCAGGCCCGACCACAGGCAATTATAGAGGCTTTACCTCTCAGGCCTCACAGGGGAAACCTGCCCGCCTCCCAGCAGACTTGATGTAGAGCCAGTGCATTACAGTCTCTGAAGGCCTTGCTGTCAAGGTCTCAAGGCCCCTGGCCAGTGATGCTTTTTGACATATTACATCACTAGTCCCCCTAATCCCCCTAGTCCCCTGTATTCCTAGCTCCTTTACCTGAGGCCTTGGGCAGAGAGCTTCTTCAAGTGCCTCTGCTGAGATCTCTTTAGAGGGGTAGAAGGGGGGAAAACCTTGAAGACACTTTCCTCCACTTGAATTAGTATCCAGTACTTCTCTACTCCTAGCCCTTCCCATTTGCCACCCCACCCCCCAAATAAACCCCCCACACTCCTCAGAGCCCATAAAACTGCTGGTGCCTTTTGTTTGGGGCTCCCTCAACAGTGAGAGTCCCCCACATCTGTGCTGATCCACCTGACCCTGGACTTGTGTTCCACTCCACAGGGGAGAATGAAACGGGGCAGTAGGCATTTCCTCTGGTTTTAGTCTCTTGCTAATACCACTGCACCAAGTGATTACAGGCGCAACTCTTTCAGTTTTGGCTGAGCCTGATAGCTCAGCTCAGCTGAGCTCCTGACAGCAATATATTTCTTAAGTTAGGGTGTGTAATAAAGCTACTTTGAACCTCCTCTATAAAAACTTATAAAAAGTCAAGTTGTATGGAACTTCTATGGGGAGGAAAGATAAGATGAAACAACAAAAAGCAGCTGTTTAAATTATAGCTTCAGTGCCCCAGAATACAAAAAGAAGGAAATTGTGGGGTTATCAGAAAGGTGCTTCATTCTTTTCAAAATTTGAGTGTAAGGTAAAAAGTAGGATACCAAGGAACCTTAAAGCACATAATTCATATTATAAATTTTCTCTTCTTTGGCATGAAATCCTCTAGGTAAGATTGATTTTCTTACATTTGATTTCAAATTATATTTTGGGCTAAATGTGATATATCTTAAATGTATCTATACCAAATCTGTAGATAATGAGTTTCCACAGTTACTAACCACTCTGTAATACGTGCTCACATAATATCCTTAAACTACTTTTTCATTCAAACCTCTGTATAAAGTTATATTTGTCCTTAAACTTTTTGGAAACCTCAGAGATTTCATACATCAATTTATTTTTTGCCTCAACTACATAGGCTCTGTTTCTCTCTCCTTTTGGTCTATGTCACTGCTGTACTGATTTTATCGGTCTTCTTATGTAGAAGTCCCTCTTGTTCTCTGAAAAGCATAGTTCCCCACATCTGAACTTTTCCAGCCAGACCCTGTAATAGCATAAAGGGGCAAATACTAAAACTGCATAGTAGTTCATGCTCTGACATATCATGGTTTTATAAAAGATGAAATTATATTTTATGTCCGTACTGTATAATCATTATACAGTAACAAAGTCTTAAAGGTGAAAAAGGTATTAGAGATTGTCATGTCCTTATTTTGATAATTCCTTAAATCTATATAGTGTTAATTAGTTATAATTTAGAATGTGCTTTCACATTACCTCATTTGATCCTTACAACAACTATATTAATTAGGTGGGCCAGATATAATTATTCCCATTTTAAAGATCAGAAAACAGAAACAAAAGACGGTTTCTTCATGCATGTGGTCATGCAGCCAGTTGGACTGGATTGCAGAAATTGGTATTCCCAGTCCATTGTACACCACTGAAACACTCTACACCAAGGCTCTGCCACTTTCTACCTGCCCTAAACTTGCAGACAAATGTAAAATATTAAAACTAAACTTAGCTTATGATAAGGTATTATTAAGAATCTTTATAAAGAATACTAGCACTTTGGTCAAATATAGCTTTTGTCAGATCTGTTACTTTTGAGATGAATTTCTTTACCTATATATTAAACATTAGTGACAGCAAGGCAAAGTAAATTTAATCATGAATTTCTCTCCAGTTCTACTCTTACTGTATAGTCTTCATAGGTACACTTGTAGCTCTCAGCAAGGAGATAGTTAGCAAAATCCTTACTTAAAATTGATCAATACAGAAACATGCTTCCACTAACATTTCTAAGGAAGGAAGAAAACAGCTTTAAAAAGAGACCTTGAACAAAGTTACCAGACTTTTTTTTTTGCATTAGTTTCCTTACCTCCAAAAAGATGCAATGCTTTCCTGCAGCTTGGTAGGGGCCATTTTGCACAGCTGGATTTCTGAAAGCTTTGTTTTATTTTCAAATATTCTTTAGTAAAGAATGTTTTTGTAGCATTGTTCAGTTCTAGGGTGAAACAAAAGAAAATAGTATTTTTAAACATTAACTTGAGTAAAATGGCAAGAACATGAGAAATGACTGTTGTAGTATTTTGATAATAAATTCAGACCTCTTTAAGACACTGAAGACAAAAGTAGAGTCAACTTTTTAACTCAAGCAAACATAACTCCCCAAATTCACATCTGATGCATCTTTGATATGCCCACACACATAACAAACGTCTACCAAGTAGCTCTTATATCAGATACTAAGCCAGATTTGGGGGATACAGCGATGACTAAGACATAGTCCTTGCCTTCAAGAAGACTTCAGACTAAAAGATGGGATAAACAGGTAGACAAAAAAAGGGGGAATCATGTGTTATGGGTGCAGCAGTAGACTAGCTAGAGTGCAACTCATAGCTCAAGAGTGATAAGGAAAAGGAAAAACTCTTTTAGAACTTTTTACTTCATAAGCTCTTTATTTCATTCTGTATATGATGGGTTGAGCATTTACTGAGTCTAATGCTGCTGATTCGAGGAAGTTTAAAAAAGGTAGAAAGAAATCCTCAACCTCTCAGAAGCTTGCTAATGAGTTAAAGAGAAAAAGAAAATATTCATGTGAAGTAAACAGAGACCAATCAGAGAGAACACATAATGATATTCACGTTAAAAAGTAGAAAGTCTCCACATATGAGCCACGGAAAGCAAGGCATGATCTGAGTCAAACTGTTTAATGGAGAGGTTCTCAGAGGCCAACGCAGAGTTAGTTACTAACTTGAGAAGTAAACTAATCTTTCCATTAATGGTTCCCTCCTACTTTCATCCCACAATTATTACCTGTATGATTTACTCAGTTTCCATCCTACTTCAGGTTTCAAGCTTCTGCTCAAATCAGTTACATTAAATTTTCTGTTTTTCTTAATTATGCCCTCAGATTGACTCTTATCTAAGTAATTCACAGGGAAAATGGATTCACAAAGTTTACATTTAACAAAAGAAACCATGTAAAAAATAAATAACTCTAGGCAAGTGAGGTTATGTATTAAACTTGTAAGTCCTTTTAACTCTCTTCCCCATTCCATATCCAAGAACCAGTAATTCAGGCACACAAGTTAGAGAAAAAGTAATTTGATAGTCTGTATACTCATTATGTATGCTGGGGGTTGTTATAACTAGTGAATTTTTTATCCTTTATGTGTTTAATAGTTAAATGATGTCAGGTTGGATACTCTTGCAGTGTTTTCTGCAGCAATGCCACAGCTGTTTTATTAAAACCCACTTTGCCCATTGCCAGTGAAGAGTCCCTTAGTGTAAGAGATGGTCATGGCACCATCCCTGGTTAAAATGACTCAATCAGTGTCATTCATACTGATGAAGAGAATGGAAGAAGTCATCAAATGACTTATAACACATTTACTCACAGTAACAACCATCTTCTTGCAGGACTTACCCGTAAGCAGTAATGAATGTAATTCAGGGTATTCTCTGAGAAATTGAAAATCCCATGAGATAAGTGGTATTGTGTTAACAATGAACTCTTGGACAAAATGACTTGCAACTTTCTAAATGCCCTTAAAAATGATACCAGTATGGTGAGTAAATGAAGATTTCACATGAGAGATAATATAAACCAAGATGAAGAGTTTGCACCTCAAGAATTCTTATTCCTCTTCTTTCTCCTCTTCCTCTCCTTTCCCCCTCCTCCTCCATCTTCTGGAAAGTTTTAGCTATGTTCTAAAATGCTGATGCAATAACCAGAGGATACCATTGCACTACTCCCTCTTATGCTGAAAACTGATTTGGACATGTAATTGAATTCTAGTTCACCAGATCGAAAGAACATTCTTGTAAGAGTCATCCAATAACTGCAGTTTAATACTGGCCACAAACCAAACTTTTCCTAGAGGGTAGATGAGAGAAGTAAAAGTAATAATGATGCCTGTGATATTTCTGTTTCCTAGTTTCAAGGAACTTAATACACAATGCACTTTTAACCTGTATAATAAACCCATATGATTAATGCACCAAAGCAGGAAAGAGTTCATAAATATATTTATAATACCTAAGAAAATTACAATCAGAAGAATTACTTTATTAAAATGTGCAAAATGAGATGGGTGTTGTACCTACCACATTTTGTTGAACATACACACTGGTGTCCATAGCATATTCTTACCAGACTGACAATTTTCAAAGATTTTATTTACTGTACTTGACCTGAAAGACTTTTGCAGAAGAGAGGATCCAGAAGCCCTTGTCCTACCATCGCTGGCCCAAATAAGAACTGACTTCTAATACTTTTTAAATGTGGGACCTTCCAAAAGTCCTTGAACTTTTCTTTGTATTGTCTGTGCTATCTCCTACAAACATTTATTTTGTACCTGCGGTGTGCCTAGCACTTTGTTGGTCTAGCCAGGAATGTAGAAATAAATTAAATATAAGTCCTGTTTGCAGGACATTGTAATAGATCAGTGATTCTAAAATGCCTGTCTATAGCCTGGCTATGCACCAAAATCACTCAGGGTACTTGTTAAAAAGACAAATTCTAGGACCTTGCTCAGATATATTGAAGCACAATTGCTGTGGATGTCACCTAGGAGTCTGTGCTTTCTACAAGCTCCTTGGGTGATTCTGATGCACAGTCAGACTTGATAACCACTGGATGAAATGATCTTAAATCCGTTTCTGTTCTAAAATTATTTTAATTTATTTAAATACGTTAAACCTTACCTCACTCTGCTATAAAATGTACAAATCTTATCAAAGGATGTTGTTCTTTCTATAGAACTGTTTTCCCTCATTCTAGTGGCATTTGAATTTGGAAATGCAGGATTTGGCAACAAATAAAATGTTCAACACTACATTTTTCAAAATTACCTGGAAGAAGCACTAAGAAAAATCTGAAGGCAGAGCAAGACGTAGGGCTTGGAGTAAAAGGTGATGAAAACCACCTTTATCTCCTTCTCTGCCAACCCTACCTACTAGGAAGTAAACGTTTCTTGTTACAATACGTACTAACATGTATTGGACGTAATCAGAATTGTTGAATATGCTAGAAAAAGACAAAAACCTGAATATCCTGGAAAGATTCTAAAGTCTATTCAAATGGCACATTTAGTTAAATGTGGTAGCAGTACTGTGGAAAGAGCAGCATCTCTATGTGACACTATCACTACAAATGTAAATGATTGTCAGGATAAAGGAATTCTAGTCATCTTGATTTGGCTGAGTACAAGAGTCAATTACCAACTACATAAACAGATAACTCAAATGGTCATGGAGTGTATTACCTTGAGTTTCATTGTATTATATTACAAACAATAAAATAAGGACAACCACATAAATAGGATAATTTTAAACTATAGGCAGTGTCAATAGGATGCTGCAACTTCGATTTCAGCTTTATGCTTAAATGTTGAACAACTAATTATATTTTATATTTAAACAACTAACTATATTTAAACAAATATTTGTCAATAATAATTTCAAGCATTCTGCTAAGCGCAAGAGTTAAACTGAAACAGGCATAGCATTTGCATTAAATCTTATCTAGTAAGACGGTAATCATAAAGTTATGAGGTAAGTGCTATGATAGGGTTAATTCAAGCCTTAGAGTCTTATTAAGGAGGGGAATATGATAAAAGCAGTATTATAAATATACAGCACAGTCATTTAAGTGGACCTAGTGGTATTGTCTTTTTTTACAAGGCTAGGATAGGGACTGACCCGGTGGTGTAATGGTTGAGTTTGTGCACTCCACCTCAGCGACCTGGTGTTTGCAGGTTTGGATCCCAGGCATGGACCTAGCACCACTCATCAAGCCATGCTGTGGCAGCATCCTCCATAAAATAGAGGAAGACCGGCACAGATGTTAGCTCAGTGACAATCTCCCTCAAGCAAAAACAGGAGGACTGGCAACAGATGTTAGCTCAGGGCCAACTGTCCTCATAATAAAAAAGGCCAGCATATACATGTCCAGCCATCTCATTCAGATTATTAAAGGCCTTGTTTACCCATTTAAAATTACTTCTCATTATTATGAGAGCTTTTTTCCCAACAATTTCCTTCTAAGTTCTATGTTGTTTGATATATAAAATTCCATTTTTCCAAAGATGCAATCTGCAAAAAGTGATCTGACAAAAAGGAAATTTGTAGCATGTTATAATTAACATAAAAAAGACTACTTCTCCAAGAGTTTTGAATTATATATACAGGATGGGTCATGACTTTGAGTGGAGATCCAACTCTCCCTCATTTCAATAAGTGCTGTGCATGTTTATTCACAGGTATAATTTGGTTCCAGGAGAGTAATGTACAGTAAAGGACATTTGCAAAGAGTGGACAAGACTGGGAATCAGAGTCCTACCTAGTCCGTGGGTACTTAGGTAAACAAAATAAACTTTACCAGCTGATTCTAAATCTTCACTTTTTAACACAGCTTTTAGTTTAGTAATTTCTTGTGAGATGATCTTTAGGACTTTAGATTAGTTTTGTCTCACTCTTATCCTTTAATATGTTGACTTTACTATTTACTAATTTCAACCATTTCAATCTAAAGTAGTTTTCTTTGTATTTTTGGAGAGTAGCACAAGCGAAGTTGAGTTAGGATGCTGTGTCAGGGAGATCTAAGATCCCTCCCTTACACAGGAATGGAGAAGGGCTAATATATTTGGCATGTGAGCTCACTTTACTGCCTATCAATGAAAATCCACAAACTGTCTTAAAACTATCTTCAGGGCTTCAAAGGTAATGCTTACCTTGCACCTCTAGAAGAGAGGCAAGAAAGTCCTGCTTGCAAGGGACCCTAACTCTCCTGGGGAAACTCATTTTGTACCTATGTGAGGCACCCAGAGATGCTTATTTACTAGGGGAACAACACAAGATAAAAAAAACTTGAGTCTGCTCTTTATAGCTTGTATTCAGTAAAATATGACTAGTTTGATTCAAAGAATTAGCAGTAATTTAAGTGTTAGAACCAGCTGTTCAGACCTGGCAGGTTCTCACCCTGGGGTGCCTGCAGGGTCT